TAAACCCGATGGTTTTACAAAACCCCCTCTTGCAAGCACTGGCCAGCGCTGTCCTGCAAGAAAACTAATGCCTCCAGCCACCGCTTTTCGGCGGCGCACGCCTCAGCGCTCGAAGCGATCGCAAGCCGACAAGGAGGACGGGTGTGCCACGAGATCCAAACGCATTACCCACCAACACAACGTGGAGGTGCACATCGGGTCCTTGGAAGACGAACAGATTTCCTCTTGGAAGAGTTCTTGTGTTCCTTCCATGTTGCCACGTTGGGATAGTTCCAAAGTTGAAACAAAGGTCTTGTGGTGGAAGGCCACTGGATGACAACGACCTCAACGACCAATGGGTGAGCAAAAGTCGAATTGGAAGACACGAAGCCGTGGTTGCTGCCTGCTCAGCCGGCTGGAATGGCCTGCGCTTGATCGAAGACGACAACTGCTCTTGCTTGACAGTCTAAAGGGGTGTGTGTGTGTGTTGCTTCAAGGGTATCATTTTTAGGTTGTTCATAGGGAAACCCACAGAAAAACCGCTTGTTTTGCGTTTCATTTTTTGTTTAATGTTTTTTTCATGATGCTTTACTATGTGTTTCCCCCTTTTTTTGAGGGGGGGGCCTCCCTGTTTTGACACCCCAACGGGGTACGCTTTGTAGCATTGTTGTCGTGGCAACCGTTGTTCTTGAGAAGGCCCTTGCCTATCAATCGTTTCTATCGGCAGGCCACCTCAACCACTCAATCTGCCACCGGGTGTAACTGGGTGTTCAAGTAGCGAGCTGGAAAGATGATGAGAACCCCCCCCCATGGTGTTTGACTTGTTTCATCTTTTGACATAAGACCACATTGACCATATCATCCGCGTTTGGCTTCCTGACAAAATCACAACTATGGGCTGGTTGGGTGTGTCAAACTATGACCCCAACAATTGCAAGTCTTTTGGCGTCTCTTCAAACCAACCTTGCAAAGGGTACCCTGCCCAAACAAACATCCAGCTCATTCGACAGCGAATCAATTTGCGGGATATGGGAATGAAGCGTGAGGGATTCCTAGGGAAACTAAGGGATGGTTCAGTTCGGCGTTCCCGGGTCCCGCGCAGTGACGAGGCTCCCATAGACCTCCACATCCAGGTCGACCTGGTGGTGCCTCAAAAAAATGGTTTCAAGTTGGTCGCTCCACATATTAATACACGGAACCTGGCTGCCAAATCGCCTGCAAGCGAGTCTTCGAGTGTCCATGCCCCAAAGAAAAAACACCCCTCAAACTCGCGCTCCTTCCGTTTTGCAGCCCGAGGCGCTGCAAGTTCCGCAGCTCCGCTTGGGCCACCTGAAGCCTTCCGCCCCGCGCCAGTGCGCCCAGCAGTGCGCCATGGGCCACCGCCTCGAGGTGTGGACGGTGTTGACACGAGGGACTCCCCGCAACCAAAAAATGCCGCGTTCTTTTGTTGGAAGGCGGGTACCGCATTTTTGGGTTGGTCTCAAGAGAAACCCTTTTAAGGTGTTTTGTCAGGATATGTACACGTTTTGGGGTTGCGCTTGAGAAAAAGATTTGAAAAACCACCCATCACCCGCTTTGGACGTCCTCAATCTTGAGACAAGGCCATATGAAGTGTCCTTCTGGCCTCTAAAATCCACACGAAAAGAGGGTAAAAAGACCCACGCATAGAGTGGAAACCGCGGATTGGACATTGTCTCCATCCCTTCTGAAAGGAGCCCTCGTTTTGTTGTTTGATATCTGACTACCTCAGCACTTGCCCCGAAACCAAAACTATCGTCTTTGAGTCTGGCCCATGGTGAGCGAAACTCAACATGTGAAACAAGCTCACCAAAAAGAGGGCCCGGCAAAGATATGAGCACGTCAGGCTGACACCTAGTATACCAGTATATTTCATGTGGGTGTGATAATATATGTATATTTGTTATATGTGAATGCGATAATATGTGTATACATATATTTATTATATGTGAAGATGTACGCATAAATACCCCTGAGTTTTCCCTTCAACTCACTTCCCAAATGGATCCCAAAAACAGCAACAAGATTTCCGTTTCCACGAAACTGCTCTTCCCAAAAAAGTACGAAGTCCGTTTCCTGTTCAAACAACACCCAAAAAGGAACCACAAAAAGAGATTCCCCAAACTGAAGCGCCTACCACAATAAACACATGTCATGTGTATATATATATATATATGCACACATATAATTATATATATATATAATATATGCAGTGTTTGCCAGTAAAAAGGGAACCCCCCCAAACGTTTCTCGCCCAAACGGCGACCGTTTGGGCGACCGAAGACCATTGGCCGGGCCACCGAGGGCTCCCCCACGATGGCGCGCCAGTCCTCCACCAGCTGCACCGCCTGCCTGCGGCAAAAATACGCGGAGCAAAACCGAGCAGTGCAAAACCGAACAACAAAAACAAAACTCGGTTGCTTTCTGCTCCCCTGCTAGGTTTTCAACTTTTAGCGGTTTAATCCCACCAAGAAGAAGAAGAAGAACACCCCCTCTCCCCAGGGCCAACAAAAATGGGACAAAACAAAACACGCAAGGGGTCAGCCAGCACGGCCCCGAACCAAACTTGAGCGCAGGGCTGCGGCGCGCGGGGTGCAGTGCTGGGGTGCTGTGCCAAAGGGCGCCGGGCTTGTGGAGAGCCACTAGACGGCAAAGGACGCCTGCTCATCAGGTGCACAGGGGTGCAGGAGAGATGTAGCCATCGAAGCGTTGGTCCGTTTTGGCAAGACAACCAAGTCCCCAAGGCAGACCTTACCCTGCCGGCTGGCATGCGCCAGTCAACTCACGTAGAGGAATGACGTTAGCCTCACCCGATGTCAACTGACCATGTCCGCCGCATGTTGCGCGTCAGCCTTTCAGCTGTCACCCTCCTCTTGCGACGAATAAGGTACTCACCGTGCGTGCGTGCGTGCTCGCACGTCCGCCGATAAACCAACCTGCGTGACGGGGGCTACCTCGAGTACGCCTCAACAGAATGAATTATCGGGGCACACCGCATCGGTGGAGAGCACGTGCAGCTGACGATCGGTTGGGTCGTCAGCCCGCCATGTTCGACTGCGGCATAAATTAACAAAGCATCTGCTGTCCGTCACTGCTTGAGGCAAACCGCAGGGCTATTGGCTACAGCCCTTCAGATGCTGCGCATGACAACAAGGAATCCACACCACTGGGTGACCCATGGGTCAAGTGAAACCACCACAAGCAGTTGCCCACTGACCCTGGTGGAAGCAGTGGCCCCTCGGTCAGTGCTGCGTGGGGAATGCGCAACACACACAGCCGCCCAACCACCCAACCGCCTCCACTGGCTGCGATGCCTTGAGCTGCGTGCAAACCATGTCCGACCCCCGACCCCACATACTCGGGGATGCTCTCCCAGTTGGTTTCAAGAAGACCGTAGGTATGTTCCAAGAGGTTCGGCATTGTTTTGCTTTTGGAAATGGCTGCTGCTCCACCCAAAATGGAAAGTCAAATGGGCGGCGTTCGAAGGAAACACCCAACATGATACCCCCAGTTTCATGGGATAGACAGCCACCACGTCACTGCATAGCATAACGGTATTACCCTGTGTTTTGCCCTTGGGTGACCCATGGGTTCTAACAAAATGGGTTTCCTTTGTGCTCCTTGTCCTGTGATCGGACGCATTCCCGAGGCATCGGCCCGAGCGCGGCCACGTCCCGCGCAAGGTCGCGGCTGCTGAGCATTCCATCCGCGATTCGGTTTGGGCAAAACCAATTGCGAAGCCCCCTCAAAGGATGAAAACAAACCAGAAACTGGTGGTTTCGGAAATTAAGTTGAAAAAGGGACTCCACTGAACAAGAAACAAGGCACGGCATGGATTTGCGACTGACTTCCATTTAAGGAGAAACCCACCAACTGGTGCCGCCCTTTCGGCCTTTAGTGGACTTGGGGGGTTGCCCGGTCAACCATTTTGGGAGGCTGTTCCCTTTTCAATTCATGGCCATATTTGTTACATTCATTCAGGAAAAGTCCACTTACGAGAAACGAACAGAAAAACAACGGCACAATATTTGGGGTCTCAAAGTAGGAGAGGGCACAGGCTGTGGGCGTCATGCTGGCTGCCAGCACGGGGGATCCTCGGTGAGAGGGACCCCGAAAAATAAGTGTGCTCCTTTTTCTGCTCCCTTTAGACACACCTTGAAATGCATGCCCTCAAAAAAAAACAAACAACTCCCTTTCCTCTCTCTCCTTTCCCCATTGGGAGGGCCCATGCAGTCAGCCGCTTGAGCCCGGAAGGCGTTGGAATGACATTGGACGCCTTACCCGTGACCTTCTAAGTCGACACATGGCAGCGGTTTCTCGGAACATCGGGGGCCCTTCAGGTGAGCCGAGCCAAAGACCCATTCACTTTGGGTTCATGGTTATACAAGAACCTACTGAGACGGCCAACGGTGGGGATGGGGGGCGCTCAAGTACTTAGCTTGCTTTGTCCATTAAAAACTGTGCCAAGGGCTATCCTTCTTTAATGGCAACATGCTAAACCTCAAATCCCTTGGTGCGACAAACGGTCGGGAGTCGCGCAAGGCAAGCATTGAGACCGATGGGCAGACACCGCTGATCCCAGTAAGACAGCCCCTTCTTTTGCAAAACGCTTCGGGCATGTGGCTGAGTTTGAAGTCAGGGAGGCCAGCCATGATCAGTGCTCAAAAGTTAAGCACCAAGGGGAGCCCACCTCCTCGTTTGGCACGCACCCTGTGCAATGACTTGTCAACTCTATTCAAAGTCCGCGCCCCTGCAAGAACATAAAGTGTGCTCTCTTCGGGGCTGGTTCAATGGGAAACCAAAGGGAATCCTAGAAACACGGACAATAGTCGTTCCGCAAGACGAAAGAGGAATGTTTGGCAATTTCCCTACTTTTCGTGGGAAAACTACAGAAAGCATACCAAATGTCCTACCCACACAGGTTGATGCAAATTTGCCGGCCCAAGAATCCGCTTGCTGGCCGCGCACCAGCTTTTCCAACATCAGGCTGCAACCAGGAACTCGGACAAGCACGATCTGCCTGCCAGCATGCCATACAACAGTCAGCTGCACATGTTGAACCATAGCTCCGAAAATGAAAACAACAAAATAACCGAGTAAAGGATCCACATCATGGTGAGCTCGCTTTAACCCAGGAGCTCATGGTTACACACCACCGGAACACGGCTAGGCTATGTTGGGTGAACTCAACCCCTGCACTACGGCGGCAACTCGAGGGAACTCAAAACGAGGCTGCTCAAGCAATAGCGGCTGCGGGGACAAAAGGCAAACGGGTTGGGTAGGTCACTTTAAGAGGAAAACCCCGCCAAAAAATGGAACCAATGGCACTGGAGGTTGAAAACTGGGCTGGAGGCTTCAATCCTCAATCCACAAAGGGACCACTAACACTCAAGGGAAGTCTCTATATTGTTCGGTTAAGTCACTTGGCCCCACCCTTCCAAGCCGTGGTCTTTTGGAAAGATGGTACTGGTGAATGCCAAACTGACCTGAAAGGACACCTATGCTTCCGGTCCAATCTACAGCAGCTTTGCGCCAGCCAAAACCATATGATTGATTATATTTGTCTCGCGTCTAGAAAGCCTCGAAGATTGGAACAAGGATCCCAGCAACCCTGCCAAGTCCCAGACCCTCCCCCCCCAGAAGAACAGGAGAACAGAACAAAAGCACGACAAAACAAACAACACGCGGAACGTCGTCCCCATCTCTCACGCCTCGCCCTCGGAAGGTCCTTCTTGGCCTTGGGGAAGCTAAACAATCGGGGAACCCTTTTTGGTGTCAAAATGGGCGGACCCCCGAAAAGGTGGCAGTGGTTTCCTCTGGATTTCCCTGTAAACCAAGATCTCTTGCAGCGGAGTTAAAGGAGGATGGCCAGTGGAAAGGCGGCTGGGCGGACGAGGCTGCGAGCCGACCTGGAAGCTGGGTCCTCCAGTAGAGAGGTTAGAATAAGGGTACCCTTTCTTCTGTGGTCTTTTTTAGTACGCAAACCCTTCCCCAAAAAAAGGTAAAAGGGCACTACTGAGGGAGCTAGGAAGTACTTCGAGCCATCATCGAGGCCTTTCCAGTAGTCAGGTTGATGCCATAAGAATGGCGGTGGCAGGTCAAGGGCTCTCAAGATGACTTTGGAGTCCCAGCAGTTTCGCTCTAAACCACCATTTAGAGGGAAACTTTGAGGATGCGACTTTCCTAGACCCCGTCCACAGGACACCCCTTAACTATGTTCTTGATTTTGCTGGTTCTCCAAAAAACGATCTCGGGGTTTGGGAAATGCCTCCAGCTTTGGTAGAAAATGGTCTTTCCGTTTCGCACTCCAAGACCTCAGGCGATGGCAGGCATGGCAGCAGCAGCGCGCCCGGCGGCACAGCTGCCCTGCGCCACGGACGGTGCCAGGGGGAAACAGGCCAATCAATGGAACGGGGGGGTTCGGGTACCATAAAACCGAATCAAGCGCTGACTATGGTACAATCATCAAACAGTAATTAGGAAAGCCCCTTGATCAGCTTCCCTGATTGGTGGTTTGGAGGTTAGGGGTGGGTTAATTGATTATCTACAAGAACCGGGCGTTCAACTCGCCAAACCGCGAATCCAAACCAGCAACTAACCGAGCCCACACCCCGCTGCTACGGTCCCCAGACCTCCTCCTCGAGCCCCTGAACTCGCACCCTTGCATCCCGACACATAGGACAACTCAACCCACAACCAACCCCAAACCCCAACCCTAAACCAATCCTACACCCCACACTTAACCCGTACCCTAAACTGACCCTAACTGAGAATTAAACCAACCCTAAGCAAACCCAAAACCTACCCTAAACCTACTGTAAACCAACCCTTAACCAACCCTTAACCAACCCTAAACTAACCGGTAACCACACGAAACCAACCCTAAACCAAACCTAAATCAGCCCTAAGCCAACTCTAAACCCACCCTAAACCCACCCTAAACCAACCCCAACCCTATACCCACCCCAAAACCAACCCCAAACAAACCCAAGCCACCCACCCAAGCCACCCGCCCAACCACACCCCCCCCACCCCACTCCAGGGTTACCTCTAGGGTAGAAGTTTAGCCCCTGGAGAAGACAAACGCAAAGACCCTTCTACCAATCGTCTAGCCTCCTGGTTTGGCTATTGTTTTGGTCGGAGCAACCCTGGTGAGGCTGAAACCAGCCACTGAGAAAAGCGTGCTGTTTGTCGCACAATGCGGGACCCCCCCTCCCCCCCCTCGAAAACAAAACGATGTCAAAGGGGCGTCCTCCATTACAACAAGGTGCCAAGAGCATGGACCCATGGAAAACCGACCCCCAGACTCCAGGGTAAGACGAGGGGCGCTTGCAACTGCATCTGGTCCGACGGGTGCGTGTGGAGCTCCTGAAGCAATTTATTGGACATCGGGGGATGTGACCGGTGGAGCTCACGAAAAGACGAGACACGCCCAGGACTCAGGAAAACCCAAAAGACACATGGCTGCGGGTGAAAAACGTGGGTTTTCAGAATGGCACCTGGGCGAATGGGAAAGGCGAACAGCTGCGTCACCTCAGCTGTTTAAGTGTTTGAGCCACACCCACATGTATATAGCCGATGGGAGGGTTTGGGAAGACGAACGCCGTTTTTTATGTAGGGGAACCTCCCTGGCACTAGAGTTCTTTAGAACGGCCCCCCCTTCACTTCCAGGATTGCTGGACACAGGGCAAACAGGGTACTATCCGAGCAGAAATCCATTTTGGAAGGCCTAGCCTTCAGAATCCGTGCTTCTTTGCGCCGATGCTTCCAGACCCAAGATGCACTCCCCACCCCCACCCCCCACCCCCCCCACCCGACACATGGCACTGGGTTGCTGGCTGGCTGGCCACTCCCGGCCTCAATTCTTGCCTGCCCTTTAGACACCGAGAAGTCAATTCCCCGGATTTGTCCGAAGAAAAAAAGTTTAAGAACGCGTGTTTTCGTGGGGAGTTCCCTTCAAGACCATTCAACGCGCCTCCCCAAACAGCAAACCTGTCTTTCGGGAAGTCTCACTCCTCCGCTGAGGCGGCCGGCACAGGCGGCGGAATGTAGCCGATGGGCTGGAGCAAAGCAAGGAGACGCCAAGGACGCTGGCAGAGAAGCACTAGGGAGATTTCTGGGCGGACCCCTGCCGCAAAACCCACGTTGCTTCTTAGTTGAGCGGGAGGGTGGTGGCGTCAAAACGTTGAACCCACAAAGCAATCAGACCTGCTTCGGGTCCGTGCGAAAGGGAAACGATGTTGAGACATCCGGCTGGTTTCGACAAGACGAGACTTCCACCCGAAACATCAACTTGTCTGCCCGCCAAAGGGCGATCTTTGACATATTCATACAGTAAGCAAGCATTTGGTTTCCCCTCTGGCCTCTATTTCTGACATGTACCAACCTTGCTACCTACCACATCCCGCCTGGAAGGGATATATCGTATACCCCTGATGATTAGGCAGCGCCCACTGCTGGCTTCCGAAATCCTAATGCGCAATCTGCCGCAGGACACCAACACCAAACTAAGGATAAACCGCTACTATCTCGTATAAGGATTAAGGATTGATTTTGAGCCCAGGTGGACTCAGCACTCGAGCGCCAAACTCGAAACCGACCCCCCAGTTGCGGCCATAAGATCTGTGAGTTTTCTGCTTGAGGTTTAAGGACAAGGCCCCCAAACATGTGGAGTAACTCCTTTGAGCGGACCCTTGCTCTGTCGGAAAACTGGCAGGATTCTTGCTGGAGGTCCCTGCCATGGTACAGGGACCCTAGAAAAGGTAGTGTCCCTTCCTGGTTTCCATTCAACCAATCCAAAAGGGGCCTCAAGAAAAAGCACATACACCGGTCACCGTTGTTGTGGGCTCATGGCTCATCAGTGTATCAACACTCTTGTTGGCACTACACCGAGCTCAAGTCCAATCAGGCGTTTGCCATGTCTCCGGACCCAAGGATGAGCTGGAATGCACGGCGACGCACAATCAAAAGCGACAAGGAACACTGCAAGGCTGACAAGACAAGCAAAGCTTTTTGCAGATTTGATGTCAAGGGAAGGACAGCCCAAACATAACCCTCTTGTGGCCAGTCGTCATCTCCAAAGGCACCTTGCCTGAAAGAAACCTCTTTGGGCTAGTTCCCAACAAAACCCCTCCCATTAGAACGCTGTTGGGCGAAAGTCGCACCAGAGAAACCCTCCCCGCAGACCCCCACCCTGGCACTCTTCACATTTTGTAAAAACAAGACCAGGGTCGATGGCTTAAACCACACTTGGGTTTGTGTGTGTAGGGTACTTTCGGTCAAACGAAGGTTGTTTCAAAGGGAAACCAAACAAGAAACCACTCATCTTGGGTGGGGGTGGCGGGAGGTGTACTGTTTTTGTTTCCACCTTTGGCAGAAGGAGCTTAAATTTTCCCCAGGCGTTTTATTCCAAAGTGTTTGTTCCCCGTGTTTCTTTGTTCCTGTTCCTTCCCCTTTGTTTTTTGCTCCTGTTCCTTGTTTGGCAGGTTCTTTTGACACAAACCTGGGCTGCCCTCAGATCCCCGCTAAAAGTTTAACTTCTAGTGGGATAAATGGAAATCCCCACTGAACCCTGAAAAGCTACAAAGCTAAGAGGATGGCTGAGAGCCATCCTAGCACCGCCCCCACGCCACGTACCCCGAAAGTTGAGCCCAGCTCGGAGCTCACAGCTCGCCTCCTCGATGTCGCCCAGCCGCACCTCCTCCGGAGGCGCAGCCTCTCTTTCCTCGGCGCGCAAAAGAGTCGTCTCAAAGCATTGGGGTCATGCACTCCTATGGACTCCACGCAGTGCATGTATGTATGTATATATATATATATGTATATATATGCAGCTATCGTTTGTGTTTGTTTATGTGTGTGTGTGTGTCTCATATGTAAAGAATCATGTAACACATATATATATATATATATATGGTACCCCCCCCCCAAAGATCTACATATATACATATATATACACGTCTGCTGTATATAAGGGCGCAATTCCAGGCACCACTTCGCCGCACCAAAACACCCAACAACTTGCTTGCCAACATGTGTCTGCCCAAGCACAAAATGGCGAACCCCAAAACAGTGAGGCTTGGTGTTGGTTTACCTTTGGTTTCCCTGCAAAACAACTCAACGCTTTATCGGTTACTTGTCATTTCAGCCTGTTCTTTTCTCATCCCATTCGTAGCGTGATTATATCGTCAGAGTCTGTCTTGCAATACCAATGCTCGTCAAACATCAAGGTCAGGATCATCAATGCCATGTCTATCATGTCTATCAATATCAATATGGCTGTCGCTCGAAAACCGATACCGAAATGGAACCATGGTAGGTGGAAACGTGGACCCAAACCTGCGTAACCCCTCCTGGTTAATTTCGAGCCAGACCCTTATGACATAAGCAAAATCATGAGAAAATCACGACAGAATATCAAGATCATGACATTGTAAGCAAAATCAGACAACGTGTTTTTTCCTTACGGGGCAGCACCCCCCCTCCCCGGGTTTTCTTCTGCGGCCAAAGGCGCCGGCAGCTCCGGCGCCTTGGGCGGCGGCAGCGGCTCGGAGACTTCCTGGAGACAGCTGCACGGCGGGGGGCGGGGGGTGGGAACGGCGGGGAGAGACCCAAGAAAAGCTGACCCCAGGTGGCATCTTGTTTTTTTTGGTATTAGGTTTTTGTTCTTCTCGGGCCTCCTGGCTTGTTCTTCTCATGTTCAGACATTCGGATAAGGAAGTTAGTGCGCACTGGAATGTCCACATCACAACTTGGGGAAGACAATTTCCCTCGATGTGTTTGTGTTCTCCCCATGGATTTCATTTGAACACCATCCAACACGGAGTATCATCATCCCCATCAACAAAACAGCATGCTGCACAAACAGATGCACAAGCGTTCCCAAACCAGCTCTTTTTGTAGGTAAGAAGCGCGAACACAACTTGGGGCGTGAAGCCGGCACACTCAGATACCAACCGGGCCCCCAAATTCAGCGAGTCTATGAGGAAAGAGAAAATGTGGTCTGTGGGTTGGCTATGGTTTTGGCAGCACTCTTGCGGCGGTTTTGAAGGGGCAACTAAGATGACACCAATAGAATCTGCCCCTTTGAAGGATTCCCCACTATTACAATTCACAATCTTGCAATACCCTCAAACAAACACACACCCATGTTTTGGCCCACATCTGGGGTGAACAGAAAAGAATACTTTTAGACCTAGTCTACCATGTAAAAAATGAGCTACAGAGAAGACCCCGGATGCATGTGAAAAAAGACAAAAATCCATGGCTTTGGCGAATGCACGGGTCAAAGCACACATCGCAAACCAGCCGGCCTCGTGCACCGAGGTATCAGTGGTAGGCGGCTTCCACTCCTCCACGGGCCCGCCGTTCTCCCCATCCAGAAACCCTGAGCAGCGTGGGGGACCAAACGCGTACCCTCTCACCTAAGTATTAGTTTTGAGGTGTTTTAAGGGAAAACCAGGGGGAAGCCGCTCAATTATGGGTTACCCCATGGAGACAAAACCACGTTTCGCACCTAGGGGCCCTGTGTTTGTTCAATCTTGAACCTGTTTTTTGACCGCCCAAGTTTTGGTCTATGGGCCCAAGAAGACTGGTACGAAGAGCATGAGAAAGAGGCGCTGTGACTCCGGGGGATCTCGCAAAGTGGCTGGATTCCGTTTGAGGCCTGTTCGAAGCCTCCCGAAACACGCGCCTGTGGATTTTGATCGGGGGGGTTCTCTGGCTGACGGCAGCCTCTGCCCCGCCCCGTCGGATTATTCACCAAGTGGCGCAAGTGCTTTTCAATTTGCGGGTTCCCTCTCCCGCTTGGACAGCAGGGGTTCAGCCAAAGCCTGCGTTTTTGGAGGTACTTCAGGCAACTCCTGTTTTGGGTGCGTGAAAACCAACAAAAAGGGAGAGGAGTTGGTTGTTTGCACTTGTGGGATGCTGCTCTTGCGCCATCCAAGACAAAATCAAAGCCACGGAAGCTGCCCCGAAGCCAAAACCCTTGGTCGATGAAGAATGCGCAAGGCTTCCTTCACTACGATAGGTATCCGGCGATACCGTCACGCACGAGGAGAAAACATGTTGCCTACTTGGGACCTCAATGGGGGACACCCAAAAGGGCGTCTTCAAAAGAAACACCCATAGCCGTAAATGGAATGACTGGGAAGGGAGGAGTGAACAAGAGGCATTAACCAGATTCCAAGGCAAACCAACAAGTGGAGCCCTCATTGCAGGAAACCAACCAAGTTCCAGCAGCACGTTTTGTGACCAAGCAAACCCATTTTAGCAGAATTCCCCTCCCCCCCTAAATAGAGAGCAAACCAACTCAGAATCCCCCCCCCGTAGTTTTTGGACACAAACCCATCTAGTAACTGCGCGAAGGCCAAGGCGCGCTCACTGCAGAAGTCCCAGCCTCGGCATGCCAAACAGGACGCACGTTCCCCTTCAAAATACCACGAGGAAACACACATGGATACAAGTGCAAACCACTTGTTCTAAACTTCATATATATATATATATATGCACACCTAGGTGTGCGTGTGTGTGCTTGTTTCGCTGACGGCGTGACTGGCGACCATGAGCTCTCAAGCCACTTTTTGGTGTTGGGGTGGGGGGGTGGGGGGGTGGGGGGGTGGGGGGGGGGGGGGTTCGGTGTTTTCAAGCATGTTGACTATGCGACAGCCAATGCAGACACACACGCAGACAGACACACAGCACGCTCACGCCGGCCGTGCGTGCCGGAAACTCTGTGCACACACCGTCCTTGCGCACGCTGCTCATGCACAGGCCGCTTCTGCGCGCAAGCTGGCTGCCCAGACATAGCCACATTGACGGACAGACACCTGCGCGCAATGACATTTGAGCTGACTGTGGCACTTGGGCATCATGCCCACAGGTCTGTTGTGTGTGCAGGTTGCCTTGCTCCATTGGGAAAGGCAGAAAATAAGATAAAAGTGCTGCAAAATACAGCACGTGAGACAATGCCTCAATTTGCCACTCTTGACACTGCACTGGTAATTGCCATAGGTTTGGCTTTGACTGATGCAATGATGGTGTTGCGGGGCCCCACGGTCGCTAACGGCGCCGTGACCTTGTTTGCATGCAATAGATTGGCTCAAGAAATGGCAGTGAATCTGGTGCCAGGTGTTGTTCCTGCGAAAACATGAGCCGCATGCCGACGGAACCCGATCCCATGTTCGGGCATGCCCCGGCACCCTCCTGCTGCGCACAAGAGACTCGCTTGCCGGCGAACCTTGTCAGATTTGTCGATTCGCTTTGCTGAGAGGTTCATGCTGCGCGCTCATCGCCACCCGCTTGCCCCAATGGAGGTTTGAAGAGAAACATGCCAAGCAAAGGACCGCAGAATTGAAACAGACAAGCTTCATGTCACGGGGGTATTCGAGAAAGCCTACCAAAGAAGTAGTGTTGTGCCAAACCGTTTTTGGAAGACGACTTTCCAAAAGGATAGGGCTTCGCCTAAACACTTACGGTGGTAGGGCATTCAAAAAAGGGGCTGGGCAAACCTGTGCAAGCCACTTTTGCTTGAAGGTCTCCCGGGTAGGGCCGGGTGGGGTCCCGACAAATCTCACCCAACCCGGAACGCACCAGTGCCCTGCCAAATCACACAATCGAGTGTGACGTTTCATCGCTGCTGGAAACTTTGGACATTTCATCATTTGCACGGCTGAATTCTGGAACCAACTATTTTGATTGTTTAACATGCACGCACGTGTGGACTTGTCTCAAACTGGGGGAACCGCGAAATGCAGTTTTCCGTTGGTTTCGCTTTTCCAAAAGTTTGGGCCAGGGTCCAGGTAGCATTTCCCAACAAAAACTGAGCAACATGTTTTGTGGCCTTCCTTTGGTTTCCCGTGAACACACATGGCTCTGTCTTCTTTTGAGCCTGGGTACCCCTTCTTTGGTAGGCTTCAAAAGGAAACCAAAAGGAAGCCCACCAGTTTGTGAGGTAAAGCCAAAGAAAACCCACCACTTGGGGAAGGGTTCCCTTAAACAAAAGGACACCCTCCACATCCCTTGAAACCCATTGGGCCACTCGCCGGCGGCCAACCGGGGCCCGGGCTGTGGGAGGCGCCCCAGCCGCGGCCCGCCAGCTCCGGGCGCTCGTCGTCCACGGTGGTGGGGCACACGTGGAAGGTCTTGCTCTCGTCCCTAACGGCACGTCGTTAAAGAGGACTATTGCTTCCAACCCGGGGGAGTAGAAACCAATTTTGGGGTGCAGTTTTTGTTGCTTTTTGTTCAGTGTAGCTTTGGGGTGTTATTTTTGTTTTTAGAGTAGCCTTGGTAGAATCGTTCAAAGGGACAATGACAAGAGCCAAGTAAAGCTGTCAAAATGGGGATTTGGACCCGGACAAACAATTGGTGTGTCCCGTCGGTGTTTTTGGAAAACGGCTATCCTCAAAAAAAAACAGACTGTCAAACCCCAGGGTTGACTCCCCAGTCACATCTCCTTCATGTGAGCCACTCTCAATATGTATGCTATCAGCACTGACTGGAATTGGGCGAGTAAACCTCATGTCCCAAGGATAATTTATGGTACCAGTGTCAGCCCTTCTACTAAAGTAGATGGCATGTATGGTTATCTCGTACCCAGTGCGTCAAGTTCCCATTAATTACATCTGGTACCTATACTGTTTGTTCAAAGCAGTCGTTTACAGTGGCAACTGGAAAGCGCCAAAACTGGAGATCCTACAACTGAGGAGGCACTGGGTGTTTCAACCATGCGCCGAAAGGTTAACGCTGAACCAAACTCTGCAGAATCGGTCTGTTCCGTTCTATCTGCATGCCCAACGGGGTTGGAAACCAATTGGTCCTTGCCCGGGCAAGCAAACGGGCGGAAGGCAGCATTGGACAAGCACCCGCGGGCCAATCACGCTTTCCGACAGGTTTCAGGCCCCGCTGCTTCAAGGCCCTCTTTCAGCTCAAGGGTTCATGGCGTGGGTGCTGGAGCCCTGTTGCGCGTGTGTCTCTAATAAAGAAACCAGTTCGGGTCACATGAAAAAGGGAGGGGCTGCGTGGACATCACCCGTATCATGTACACAGCCCCATCGAAATCTCTTGGTCAAACAACTTGCAGGACTATGCGGCAAGAGGGACCCCCCAATTTTGAGACACCCCCAAGCAGGTATCCCCAACAGTCCCGGAAACTCCACGACCCTGCCGGAACCCGCTCCGAATCACTCCAGAGCCTATCTGGGCAAAGACCCCATAGCCGTTGGGGAAAAATGGGCAGGAAAGGTTTCCTTAAACCACCCGCAACCTCTCCCGTGTCTACCTTCTGGCCATGAACTGGCTTGGAGCAACCGGAGGCAGAGGGTTGCTGGGAGCAATCAGAGGCGTTGCTTCCCAATATTCGCCTGTCTCAAACTGCCCGCTCCCCCCCAAAAAAAAACAGAACAAATCCTCTGTTTAGGTTGTTTTGTTTTGAATCCGTTGAAGCAGGTACCAAAGGAATTCTCAGTCCGATCCCCCTCCAAACAGCTAGCAGCCACTGCCCCGAGTGTACGCTTCTGCCCGGCGGCGTAGTGGTGCAAAGGTGCCTCAGTGGATGGCTCTTGCGACGTACTTCATGCTGTTGGGCGGTCCTTTCTCAAGCTTTGTAGCCTGTAGACCTGGTGACAGTAGATGGCACAATTTCTTTCCACATGTTGGCTTCGTCAGCCCGCCATGTATTTTTGCCCTGGTCAATCCATTCTTTGTTCCTTAATTCAGTTCCTTGCCTGGCCTGACCGACACATGAAGGCGGAGTCCACGTTTTGCCTACTATACGGGCCTGACTAATTAGAATGCGGTTGCGCTGCAACTGACTTCCAAACATTTAGCCATGATAAGAAGAGATTTACGCTTGCAACTGTCCAGCCCCAATATTGTTATCTGCTGGCTGAAGACAATCGCACTTTGCTCACTTTGCAGGCTTCTTGCATTAAGGAGGACGAAGCAGAAGGCAACATAGCAGGAGTCAAAAAGCAGGGAACCTGCAGGGGGCGGAGCATCAGTTTCTGGCTCACTTCTGTTGAGTCGATGGTTGGAGTCCACGAGGATCCCACATTGTTTCCCATGCGCCCGGAAAAAAAAGTCTGAAGACCTGGCGCCAATGAATGGAGGTCTCGCCTTCGCAAGAGCTTCAAGAAATCGGATGGCTGGAACATGCGTCCTCAAAACCGGGGACGCCTGAGGGGATTTACTTGGGTTCTCTGGAAAGCATCCGAAGAAAGGCTGCCTTCCAAAAAGGCCTTCATGGTAAGGACACCCCTCCAAAGAAGGAACCAAAAGCGCCCGCTGGTTGTCTGGGACTTTAATAATGTGCGCCCACTTGTCTGAAACACAGCTGAAGTTGGCGGAGCCGGAGTCGGCTTTTGATTCTGGTCATGCCCCAAGGAGTGGGACAGCACCACAAGGGAACCCCCATCTGGTATCAGGATCAACATAAGGATCAAACATGCATTGTGAACAACTAGAAGTCTTCCAAAGGAACTCTAGTTTTCCAAGTGATTTCCGCGACCAATCTTTGACGAGTCTTGACGGTGGAGGGGAAGCGCGGTACTTCCCTCTCGCCCACGCCAAGTTGCTGATGAGCAGAGTCCTTCCTGAGCCCGCTGGTGGCAGACGGACGATGCTTCTATATCCCTTCCCCTTTGGGAAGTACCGTGGGGCCCGCCCACGCTCAAGAAGGGTTGTTGCAAACCTCCACAGCAGGTGTCCTCAGCAGGGCTCCGAGAACTATTGTGGGGGCATCCTTAGTGCGTGTTCCGACTTTTGAAGTCCAAGAGTTCAAGAGCAACTCTCAGATGCTTGGCGCAATCTGCCACAGATCTCTCTTCTGCGCATGTCCGTCCAAGTCATATGGCACAAGGCCCCCAGAGGTGATGTCCATTACAGGTGGCTGTCTCAGGAGTATCATACGTACTTTAGTCTTTTCAGTGTCATAGTTAGGAGCCCTGTTTGCGTTTTGCGCTTCACCACACCTCATGAGTTGCCTTCGGGGGTGGATTCCAAGCAAATGCCCCACTCACCCTTTCATCTCACCAGGTTTGGTTGGAAAAGCTGTTTGAACAACCAAAGCAGGTCGTTCTTTCAAAGAGAAAATCGGCGTGCTGCAGTTTCTTTAGCCAAGGTCCGGTCAAAATTGAAGGACAATGTGGAGGGGCTCACGAAATTGACAAAGAAGAAGAAGAAGAGAGCTCGCAACTTTTTTCCCCAAGTCCTCTTTGGGGGAAACTCGTTCCCATTTCGACCGTGCGCCCATGCCAGGGGGCTGGTACTGAAGCATCGCCTCCACAGCGAGCCGGTCCCGGAGGGGGACCTTCTTGAGGTCCAGAGACCGGTCCTCAAGTCGCGCGAAGCGAATCTCCCCTCCCAAGCCACTAGGCACATGGAACACATGTTGGAGTTGATCCTGGGCAACTGGGACATATGTTGGAGTTGGTTCTTTTTGGAAAAAAAAAGGTCCGGTGGACATGGTGACCAGAGCAACAGCACCAAAAAATGGCGTGCGCCACTACATAGGCAAAGTTACCCATGGTCATTCTGAGGATGGGATTATGGATCAACCCCCTTATATCCTTTATATTGTGGCTTTGTAGTAGTGTATGCCACTAAACCTGTGGAGGCAGTGGTTTGGGTGGACACCATCTGGGAATCACCTAGCTTGGCGTGCGAGTGTATTTGTCTTGTGTCCGCGAAGTGCGGGAATGACGGCGTACAGCAAGCACACCATCATTGGGTCCAGGCAGGGAAGGAGTGGAATATTTACTCCTACATCCCCTGCTATCTGCAAGAAGGTCATGCTGTACTTGCAGTCCCCCCCGCCCCCCCTCCCCGCACAGGCGCTAGCAGTGACTTGGAAAACACGCACCTGGGAACCTCCCAGCGGTTCACGGCAACGAACAAAGAATCCCCACTACGCTGGGGCCCTCTTCAATGAACACCGGGGATTAATCAGATTCAAACATTGCACAAACATATCAAAGTTGACAACTGGTATCATGGCTCTCTGAAGTGGGATATTGAAACCAAAATAGTAGTGGCCTTCACCAACATGATGAATTATACCCACCCAAAGTTGGTAGTTTGCCAACTAAACAACTCAGTTTAGGAAGTTAAGGAGCGAAGAACTTGCGCGGCATCCACCGTTTGACTCCTTTTGACCGTTTTGGGAAGAGAAGGGCGCCCTTTGATTTTCTAGAACTTCATCAGACTTAGACCCCCGGAACTGTTTGCTGGTTACACAGTAGACCTAAAAGTGCAGCAAAGGGGAACAACTGAACAAGAAAGGGGGTGTCAAAACGCACCCCAAGCAACCGTGTCTTTCGATCCTTTGTCCCAATACCAGCTTCCACCAAAATAGTTTGGTTCCCACAAAATTTGCGTGGGAAAAAAGTAGTGAGCCTGTTCATGTCCCGTGACCTGCTGTATAGTTAAACACCTTCTTGGCCTCACTGGGTGCCCCGTGCTGGCTTCAGGAAGAAGGGATCCTCCATGTATCGCCTGGGCCAGCTCCACAAAACTCCCAGGAACACCAATCGCGCCTCGGACTCCTATTCGTATGGGCATGATGTTTGATTAGGGACCCGAACTGCTGGACATCAGGGTTTCGGCGCGGATTCATGTCCACCAACCACTAGGTGGTTCCCGAATAAAACTCGTGGCCTATCCCGATTCTAAGGCCACCGGATGTGGCTTCCATGAGTCTGCCCCATCGCTTCGCCAGGCTTTGCACATCCCAAGCTTTCAGCCATAGCCTGAGGGCATTTATGGGACCTGGCCGGTCGGCTCGTCGAGCCACCCAGCCAAAACCCTGGAAATCAAATCAAAGGTCCACCTCATACAACCCTGAGATCGATTCGCTTTTGAGGCAACTAATGCTAGAGGGGTAAACCATTACACACGTTCTTCTCTTATAAGCCTGACTTCATTTGGTGCGAAAGTGCCCCACATCCTCATTCTAATTATTTTCGCCCTTGCATTGTTCAACTGCAGCATCAGCCGATGGCAAACAGCAGTTGTAAACAGGACGCGTCCATTTGCGCCACGGAACCTTATATGGGGGGGTGGTCGTGTCCCTCACCCCTTGGAAGTGTTGCATCGCCGCAATGCTATTGGGCCATCGAAGACCCAAGGTCTGCTGTTGCTTCCACTCTTGCGGCTTGTAGGCAACCAACTTGAAACTAGCACTCGATCTTTAGACATGCTGTGTATCCAACGTGTTGAACCATTTATGCCATGGTCCAAACTCCTTTTGTAGGCCATGGCAATAATTGTTTTTCAACCTATACAATGGTGGTCTCAGCTCCTCATCGAGAGGCAGATGAGCTTGGACATACCAACCCCAAGCAAAAAGTGTTTTGACCACTTGAGTCCACCGTCTTTGTTCTGGTCCGCGAACGACGCGGTTTTGCTGCTGCGAGGTTTTGAGCTGCTGGCCGCGACATCGCGTTTCAAGCCCACACAAAACCCGCCCGAGTTTGTGTCCAAATTGGGACCCTGAAATAACTAATCATATGATCCCCTCACTTTTCCTTTTGAAACCAACCGCCAGGCAATCCCAAAACCACAAGCATTCCCACTCCGAAACCAGATGTAGTGGTGCTGATCCACATAGTCGGCTCTGTCTTGCAGGGGTTTGTTGGGGACCCACCACAAGTGGAACTTCGGCTTTCCCGTCGGTTTCCCCGTAAATCGACGGGAACAAGGAGCGGGGGGCAGCCTCCACGGTGCCCCTCTCAGAGGCCCCCGGCCTCAGGATATCCCCGCGCCACGCGCACATGGCGCCGTGGGCCGTGCGGGGCGCCGCGCCTGCGATTTTGCGGGCTGCGTGTTTCTTAGGTTTCAGAGGGACACCGAGAGGACAACTTTTTTGGAGGGGCTTTGAAGGGAAGCCAAGAGGAACACCGCCATTTTGGGGCGTCCGCTTAAAAACAACTTGCCCAAATAGAGGTTCACCATGTTGAGAAACACCCAAAAGGTGAAGCGGAATGCCGGCCCTTGCCCTTCATTGCTTGTTTTTGGGGGGGCATGCATCTATTCTGGCAGCGGGTTTGCTTAGAGGCCTCGTTTGGGGGCAGTCACGTGATTCTCTTATGATCAGCTTAGTTCCGTGTTCAAGTGCCCCACCAACCCCATTCTAAATCTGCAGGCCGGGATCGTTTTGGTGTGTTGTCTTGTTTGAAGCTAGGGAATAGAAATGGAAGGCGAAACATTGAGAACTATCGGAAGGGATCAATCAAATTGTCATGAAGGTTCAACAACATTGTCAAGGTTTAACCAAACAGTCGAGGTTCAAGCAAATAGCCAAAGCCCAATTCCAGAAATTAGTAAGTAAGCCTTCGGCTTCTCTCTTGAAGCAATCGAAGCACGAAATCGATCTCTGCTCGTCGTGGGCTGCTTCTTTCATCTTGCGTGGCAAGCCAAGCCCGCCTCCTTGACCTTCTGAAAGACTTTTTGAACGCTGTTGCCGTTGCAGGATAATGAGCTATATAGTTAGCTAGTTAGCTAGCTGGCTGGCCAGCTAGCTCGCTGGTTAGTTAGTCGAGTCGAGTGGAGTGGATTCGAGTGGAGTCAAGTGGAGTCGAGTCGAGTCGAGTCGAGTGGCCAAAGTACCTTGCAAAGGAGAAATCTGAAACCATCCCTCGACAAAGAAAATGCGGAAGGTCAGAATCCAACTTCAGTTTCTCCCCTTTCCGCTCGTCCCCAAAAAGCGAGGTCCCCAAAAGGAGGCACCTGCCATCTCACCGGCTTCCCCCCTCGGGCCCCGCCTGCGCTGCTCAACCCCAGCTTGGGCTCGCAGTAGTCCCATACCGTGCCGGAGCGCTCCAAATCTCGGCGCGAAAAACAATGTCTGAGAACCAAAAACACAAGCACAATCCCTCTCATGGCTTTGTCGCCTTTTTTTTGGAAATCCATCGACCGATCTCGAGACCCCCCCGCCCAAAAGTGCAAAAGGGCTCCAAAAACCCAAAGCTTGGGCGGCGAAAAGTTGAATTTCTCAGGGCCTTTTTGGAGGTACAGGGAACCAAAAGGCAACCTATAGGAGCATTTTTGGGGACCCCTATTTTGAGAGCGCTATTATCCCCTTCTCACTCAGGCGGTATTGGGATTTGGGTGCTTGTCGAATGCCGCACTATGCACCCCTTGTCTGTGTTTGGAAGCCTTTTCAAAATCGGTCCACGGTCGAGCCAGCCCTTCTAAATGAGGCGGCCAACACTTTGTTGGGTCAACAGCACACCATGCGCGTGCTGACTGTTTAGCTGCTCCTTTGAGAAAACAATTGCAGGACATGCTGTACTTCTCTGTCTGTAAACTAACGAAATTGAGAGGATGAACTACAGCCTGAAATGGCCAAGAACGAGAGTGGCGTGGCAGGACTTGTTGCGTAGAACATCATGTCGAATGAGTCTATCACCGAATAGCGCTGTTTGTGTGTTTTCCCCGTTTTGCGCGTGTTTATACAATTTATTTCCTGAAACATGGACGGATGTTATTCTAAACGTATGCTGTGACCAGCGTGCTTTGAAGCCAGAGATTAGCATTGCCTTGGTTCTATCAGCATCCTTCGAAGATGTTTTGTAGAAGCAAGGCTTCTGAGTGCGAATGACTGATTGGCTATCTTCCGTTTGCATATGCTGCACGTCAACTTGCCCACTCAACATGCCATGGCTGCATGCGCATGTAAGTCACTGCGTATATGCGACCTCACCAAATATGTGATAAAGTGTGTACATGGGCTTGTGATTGCTTGGGGTACCTCCTTTTGCTTTAAAGGGAAACCAAAAAAACACGAAGCCCGTTTTGGGAACGGCACACACATACACACCCCTCTACGCATGCACACATGGAGGTAAGCGAGGACCCCGCCTCGCTCCTTCAAGGCATGGGCGCCCGCAGGACCTCCTGGCACTGAGCACAGCCAACAGCGAGGTTGGCGGGTTGGCAGGCAGGCTGGTCGGCTGGGCAGGTTGGCTGGTTGGCGGGCAGGTTGGTGAGTGCGTTGGTGGGTGCGGCTAGGGGAAAGGGTTTGCCTCTGGCCCTTCTGAAGGTTGTTCCAGATCCAAATCAGCAAGGACGTTGACCCGGAACCTCTGTGGCTAATTTCTGAGACCCCAACCCAGCCCCTGATATCAGGAAACATCCGAATTACACCGGCCAACTCTCCCACCATCCATGCAAGTGCCCGGGCCTCCACTGAAAGACTACATGTCTGTGCAATCCCTAATTGTGCTTAGTGGGTACTCAATGACAGCTCCTAACTCCACCTTCGCAGCTCCCTCAAAATAGCGAGAAAAACTGAAGGCCCCCACCCTTGTGGACGGGAACTTAAAGAGCCACACAGCCATAAACGTCAACACACCTTCCCTGCCCAGTGGAAACTCACTGAAAATCTCGAAAAATGCTTGGAACCGCTGCCTGCAAGGGCAAAGAGGGAGCCGGTCCCCGTCTCGCTTCCCCACTTTGTGGCTGCCCCCCCCACGCGGGGCAGGCGCCTGCTTTGTAGAGGTCATGGTCGTGCAGGGCAGGGTCCTTAGCACAGAGCCCAAACTAGGGTTCCATTTGCGGGTTTCTTAAAATAGGGGACCCCAAGAAAAGATTGGTTTCCCTGTAATTTCCCCCCAAAAATATGGTTTCCCTGTGGTTCAACCCCAAAACGGGACCCACAGAGGGGCTCCACCTCGGACATCAGAAATTGGAACCCTGGCCGGGCCGGGTCATTTGCACAACTCCCTCAATGCAGGGGAGTGGATAGGGGGCCTTCCCTGTCATGCAAGTCCCTCAAGTGGTTGGGGTCATTCTGACCTTCTCCCACTTATAACAACAACTTGCATTTCCTTGAGGTGCCATGAAAAACAACACAAAGAGTTGCCAGTCATGACCAACATTCCCTCTAAGACAATGGGAGGGAAATCAAACACACCCTAGGCTAATGGGCGGTCTCCAACCATTTGAGGCCCTGTTTGTGGGTGTGCCAACCATTCGGGGGGTGGACTGCACCCCCCGTATTTGGAAGCGCCCAAATGGGAAACCACGCAAACAAAGGAGGGGAGATTAGAATGGGGGTGTGGATTCGGTGCTTGAAGGCCAAATTGAGTCATGATCATAGGAGAATGGTGTGCGCATTCAAATATAGGACCACAGCAAATACATATATATATATAATTATATATATATAGTCCATGTTGGTACGCGTTTTGAGGTTGGTTCGAAGACAAGCCAAGAACAAGCACTGAATTACGACGGAAGCGAGGCCAACGCCCCTGACCCAAGCACCAAAGTGCCTTCCGGGGCACTAAAGGGTGCTCCTTCCTCGCCGAGGCCGACAGCAGGCTGCACTGGCCGCCCCCTGGGGAAAGGCTGGCTGGGGGGGTTGGGTGCGAAGCAGGCCTTTTATTAGACAGGAGTCTTTCAAAGACGACAGTAGTAGTCTCCTGTCCACTTCCACGATTGTTGGAAGAAGAACCTCCACCCCATGTTCCCCCTTGCTTTATTGTTCCCTTTGTTTCCTGTTTAAGGAGCCCACCAAAAGAAATCACCCCTTTAGATTGGCCCCAAAAGGTCATGTTTGAACCAGCCCAAAAGGGGAGCATAATTAAGGAGCCCTGAAAAGAGCCGCCAAGGGGGTTACCACAAGACTGGCACCCCGCAGTCACCTTGCAAAAAAGAAAACCTTAAACATGGCAGGCGTTGTTTCATGTCATTTTAAGAGCCTTCCCAAAGGGGGGTACACCATTTTGGTACACATCTCTTGTGGACCCGAGGGCATGGTGCATCCCCTTTTAAACAGGGGGTGACTAGAAAGGTCGCCAGTTCGCGTCAACATTCCACGCATGAATACCGGGCAAAGACGTTCTTTGCCGTTTGCACTTGAAGCAAGCTTCTGAACCAACCAACAAAACCCAAGAGCCCTTGACTGTTTTCTGTGTTGAAGGAAAAAACAACTTGTGGAGCTCTCAAGCGACTTCAAAAATCCAAATTACCTTCGAGTAATCGCATGTTCCCCAAAAAAGGGGGAGCTGAAGCAAGGGGGCAACGTGTAGGGCCACTTGAAGTCATAACAACAAACGGTCACCGTAAAGGACATGTGGAAATATGTGAGACCCTCCCAGGTTCGGCGGGAAATTTAGTGAGTCCCCCGACCAAAGACTGGAAATGGTGTCAGAACATGTGGGCAGGGAGGCCAAAGCTTGCAACCTTCGTCAGCAACATGTCGGCCCGAATCAAAGAAAACATGATAAATGGCACTGGCAAATGATTAGAGCTAAACTCGTATCCATGCATGGCTTTTGGGATAAATGCGACACATGTTGACCCCGGCACTCTTCCAAACCCGTTTTCTGAAATGATATCTTGTGTTCGATGCTTGAGCTATCCGAATTGGTTTGGAACGCGGTAGCTGAAAACACGTTCTCAACGCAATTGCCTTCCTTCTGGATGATCACAAAATAGTGAGATTCTTGCGATGCTGATTGTTCCAAAAGAAGTGCTTGACTGCAAAACCACAAACCCTGCGATATTGCAGCATTACCCTGCGAAGAATCTGCGCAATCCACGAGCCACTCTCAAATTGTTCCTCGTGAAAATTTGGATCCTGCATCCCCGCGCTGACCCTGCGCAGTCAGCAATGCACTTACATCACTTAGTACCGCTGACAAAACTGATCACGGATCCATTAACACCTATCACACGCCCATTCAACCCATTGCTTTGCTGTGGCGACCAACCACACTGACACCAACCAACTGTGTCATTTCATCATGGCACGCAGAAGAACCGAGCTCACCTCAAGCTGCGGGACGTAGTCTGATCTCGGCACCTCAATTCCAGGCCCAAAACTGTCAGCCCTGGGCCCTTGAGACCAAGCCAAGCGGCCCACTCGGCACCAGGTAAAGGAACGGCCCTGAAGTGCGCACTTCGCCTGCGGTAGGATTGGCGCCGCGAATTGGTTGGTTTCCGTTTGGTGTAAATTAGTAAAGCCATTCCCACAAGGAAGAGTGCACACCCACATTGCGGGGCGCTTGTTCAAGATTTGCCAGGTTGGAACGCCAGGCTTGCACCGCAACCGTTGATTTCCCCTGATCATTTGGGGCATGGCTGAGACCGCGGGAACAGCCCTAAGGGCGTGGGATTTTGACAAAGGTTGCAACAAAAGTACCTGGAAGAAAACATACTTCCCAGATTAGTTCACTTGGAAAACCCCAAGAACCCCCCCCACCCCACCCACCCCACCCCTTTCAAGGGCACAAAGAAAGGCGCGCGACGAATTCCACGCCTGCGGGTCGCAGTGGCAGCCCGAGGAAGTGAGGCCTCGGATCGGACGCTCGAGACCATTCACTGCTTGGTTCCGTGGCACAGCTTTCGCAAGTCAAGCACGCGCCGGCCCGCAGGACCCGTGCAAACCCTGCAAGTCTGAGTACGTCTCGTTGTTTGATCCAAAGAAATAACAGCTTGAAAATGTGGATTTGAAGAAGGTCTTTCTGAAGTGACAACCTGCCAGCAACGAAGAACACTAATCTGCCAAATGACTCTCTAGACCGGTTGAAGCATGTCCCTTTGCATGGTGTACCTACAAGGGTGTGTCAAACTTCCAAGCAGTACTGCCTCCCATCTTTGCTCGGCCAAGAGTCATGGCCCCTTCTTGCACGGCGGCTTCCGCAGCTTCAGCCCCGATTCTTCGGAGCCCCGCGAGCTGCGCACAGGGACCCCTGATGATTTCGACCCAGAAAACCAGATTTTTCAGCCCAAAAGCCACACCACTCCCGGTTTCAGTGCGCAGGAAGCTTGGGCCCAGCGCCGGCCGGCTCCCCGTCGTCCATTTTGTCCACCTTCTGCTTCGCTTTCAGGACCTGCAAATGCCAAGCCCGAGACTCTCCTTGGTTTTCAGCTTCGCATTTGGGAAGCCCCCGTTGTGCTGGCAAGAGGGATCCCAAGTGGCTTTCCCGGCCGAACGTGTCATTCAAGTGGGCCGATGTTCCACATAGGAGCGATGTGGTTGGCGGTCAGTCTGAATTCCAAATCTCAAATAATGCACAAGTCTCAGGGAAATACATGTCCCCAGAAAGTTGATGTCAACGTGAAACGGCATTTTTAGACCGAGCATCCCGGCGAAGACCAGTAATGATGATCCCGCATGTCACCCATGTCCCTCTCCATTCTCCGAAATCGAGCGACCTTTCAGGAGCAGTCTCTGCTCAACGCAATCAAAACATTGGACAACCAATAGCTGGTGCCCAAAAGCAGTGCAATATTGGCCGTATGTCAAAAAGTGGAGACAACTTCAGCGGCTTTGGGTTCCCTGTCTCTCAGACAGATGCAAATGGCAAGTCTGTCAGACCCGCTCCACGTCGGAGAAGGAAGAAGCCCCGGTTGATCAGTGGTTGCTTCACTTTGAAGCAGGGACCACTTCACTGCATCTACCCAGCTTCGCTCCAAGGAATGTGAGAGCTGCTCTCCCAACAGCCATTCCGAACCCTTGAGCACGGATTGCCTGAAACACCATCAAAATCAAGCCAGGGTTCCAGAAATTCTCCTGGAAACAACCAAAGCAGTTGGCGTTTGCAAAAGGCGATGATTCAGGAAACTTTGCTGGAGCCCTGTCCTTGTTCAACTGGGATGGACATCTCGCTAGCCCAGTTTCCCGGTGACCCTGGTCAAAAAATGTGGACTCTTCTGATGGATGCCATTAGTTGAAAAGACTCACGAACTGGGTCACAGGACTGCCTTTAGCCGCCATGGCAACCCCCCCCCCAGCCAAGCACAAGCCTTGCGATCAAGGTTCCACCTTTTGAATACCCCAAGATAGTTATATAAACCCAGAAGTTTGTTTCCCCCAAACAGGAAACCGATTCCTGGGTAAAACAACTATCTTGATTCGAAAAGTGGGAACCCTGCTGCGTGTTTTGCGCTGGGAAATGGGTGAGCCTCCTTGCCATGGAGCGCCAACTCCTCCGGGGTGTGCTCCTGGTTGTCGTCGAAGTCCGCCCCCTCTGCCTTTTCCACGGAGCGCGCCAAACAGGCGCGCTTAACAGGAGACGGAGCCGTTTTTTTGAGCCCGCAACGTGTAGGAAAAAGGGGGAAGCGGGAAAACGGGGCAAGGATTCTCCATGGCTTGGTGCACTTCTCACTTGATGATTGATAAACTGCTTGTGTCTTCGCCCTTGAAGTCCACCACACCCGAATCAAGAAAGTGATGTGACAAAGGAACACATGTCATGGGAGATCAGCAAGATTGAGGCTGGTTAATCGTTGACAACCTTCGTCAGCTTTCCCCCCCCCTCCCCGAAATAGATGTCTTGTCATCTCGCAAACCTCAAAGTGCAAACTAAACCCAACAGACCCCGGGTTCCCTGCAAAGCTGAAGCAGCCCGCTCCACTGAAATGATGCCTTCGCTCCGTCGCTCTGGCGGGATACTCGGCGGGATCCACTGGCGAGCAGCTCTGGCGGGATACTCGGCGGGATCCACTGGCGAGCCGCTCTGGTGGGATACTCGGCGGGATCCACTGGCGAGCAGCTCTGGCGGGATACTGGGCGGGATCCACTGGCGAGCAGCTCTGGCGGGATACTCGGCAGGATCCACTGGCGAGCTGCTCTGGCGGAATACTGGGTGGGGGCGTGGTGTAGAAGCATCGCAAACGCGGATTCCAACATAAAATCCAACAACCCCTTCCTGTCGCGTGGGGAAAAAGGTCAAAGGCACAGGGGAATTCCCCAGAAAGACCCCTGACGTGGGCAACTTTCATGCTCAACTCTGGGCGGGGGACCAGGCCTAGGCCCTTAAGAGGATCGAATCCAGGTGCCCCCGCCCAAAGACAAATGGAAACCAAGACTCACCCAGTACTAAGCAATACTAAACCAATGCTACACCAATACTGAAGAGAACCGGGGAGGAGCGGCCCTCATGGACGATCACGCTTGACTGTTCCGACTGTCTGGTAAACGGTGCACCACGGAAACACCTCCAGTCCAAACCGCTTCCAAGGGGTGAACTCTTCCCCAAAGCCTATGGAAGCCCAACGCAGCTGCTGTGCGTTGCCAGTCAGCGCTGTATGGTGCGTTGTCCAGCTGCCCCCAGCGTGCCTATCCATACACGGATGGCCGTAAGCCAGCATGAATCTCGTAACACGAGCTGCTGTGTCCGCTGGCGGCGGTTGATGGATTCGTAGTAGGAGAGCTTTGCCGTGACAGCAACCGTTGCCTGCACATTCTGGGAGTTATGGGGAAGCTGAACCCCGCCCCCAAAGAAAACAAGACAACACCCAAAACCCCACCCTCAACCACAACAAGCCCAACCCCACCTCCAACCCCAAGCTCCCCCCACCTTGCCCCGAGTGCGGCCTCGTTCAGGGGCGACAAGTGCACATCCGTGTCCCGGAGCTTGGGCATCGAGGTGATGCCGTGAGAGATGGCCTCATGGAACTCCATCCCAGCGTGGGGAAAAGGCATCCGCCGCACGCCGATTGTCACGAAGGAACATGTGGGTATGGCTCAAAATGTGGGTCTTAGTCTTTGTTTCCATTTGCAAAAGTGCCGTGTTGGGTACCATCTTTGGAGCCACAGCCATGTGGACATCCCCGAGCCCGCAAGGAATCTGGTATCACTTGAGGGTTCAAAACCAGCTTGTTTGCGATTGAAGCCAGGTGGTCATAAGAGCAGAAGGAAGCACTTTCCAGGCGGAAGGCCGCATAATCATATTATGGCATTGGTGACTTTGCGGCAATTCCACAGATCCGGGCACATTGCTCCTCACAGGGAAACAAAAGGACGGGTGAAACCCTTTCAACCGGACCAACGAGTGGAATTTGTCCATCCACTGTGTGATTCACAGGAGATAAGAAACACCCGAGCAAGACACCTCATGCGTGAGCTCGTTTCCCATGTCATTACAATGGGCACCATCATGATCCTCATCGTCCGAAAAACATCGCGAGGACCTGTTTGTGTTTTCCCCTTTTGGTTTGGAATCAGATCACGTTCGCAGGTAACGCCAAATAAACCCACCAAGTTTGATCCGCTGACTTTAGTGGGTTGAAGATTGTCCAAGTTCACCCCAAAGCAGCCCTTTGTGCACTGACGTGCCACCAATCTGTTGACCAGTCTTTTGCTCTAAATTTGTCAAGTCCCAGAAGTCTCAACCTGATGCGAGGGCTTGAGGAGCTTTCGCGTCGCCAGTTCAAACAGCACAAACTGGCACTTTTGGGTGTGTCTAAAACTAGCTGGCCTTAAAGGTCTCCTTTTGGTTTCCTGTCGGATTCAGCCGCAATCGCACCACGGAAGAAAAACTCAGACAATGTAGAACTGGCATCTTTTACATGAGTATGGGGTGTAACCAAACCCAGATCAGAAAAGGTGCCTCCGAAAATAGATGACCCGTGTTGGATCGTCCAAAAGGGGAAAAACAAAATCCAGCTTGAAAATTCAGAGGTACCCCACCGAGAGACCCAATGAAGCGACGGACAAACGTTTCTGACAGGCTCCTACCCCAACCCCCTCCCCTCCTCCCCCCCCTCCCCCCGCCCAACCTCACCAAACCAAGCCACCAATTCCGCCAATTCAGAGGCCAAACCAAAACCACCAAACCCAACCGCCAAATCCAACCCCCAGGTCGCCCCGCCTCCTCCGCCAAGCCCTGGGCACGCAAGGCCACCTGCCGCGAACAGAACGAACCAAACGACAACTTCCAGGGGTCTCTGCGTGGCCTGCGGGGGTTTGAGGCAGATTCGGAACCTGGAGCACCAAAGGGCACGGGTGAGCAGAATATATCTCTTGCATGAATGCTAGGCGCTCTGCACTCCGAGCTAGGGCTCCAAAACCAAACTTTCAACTTTAAGCCCTTGGAACGAATAACCTTGAAAAAAAATAGGAGAAGAAACCCAAAGTGATCCATGGTAGTTGCAAGAAAAAAACACGGCACTTCTCTGTTGTAAAGGAGGTTTCCCTTCCGCTTCTGGCCATTCCAACAAGGCCTTCCCCCAGAACGCGTGCGCGCCTGCATGGCCATGTGCACAGCATCGCTGGCCTGAGCCGCGAGGTGCCGACCAGCAGACCGGTTCCCATTTTGCGGCGCGTAGACCCCCTCCAAACCCATGTACATGATAGGGTGTCTTTTCTTGACCCGTTTTGGCGGGTGGTGTGAAGGGAACCATTTGTGGGGCGTTCCCCTTAAGACCCCCCCCCCCCATATCCACCAAAGGGTCCCTGTGAACATTCGTCAACTAGACGTATCAACATCACACTTCGAGAACAAGAAAGGTCCAACTGGTCCAACTACCCCACTTGCAGAATCGAAATCAACCGAGCCCGGTGGATGGGAAGCATTAGCGCAGTCTTCCAAAAGAGCAAAAGTAACCCAACGAATCAAAGGACACCAAACCCCTCTGCAGGTCCCTCTTGAAATGCCTTTTGATTCTTTATGGGGGCTGGCCCATGTTGCCAATTCTTGGCATGACGTTGGCATCGCCTTTTCTGGAGCGCAGGGATGTTGCGCGGTGCGTGTCTCTCTTGGGGAGTACCGTTGGAGGGGAGGTGGTTTCGAGGGAAGCCAGAAGGAAGCCGCCGATTCTGGGGGGCGCTTCGCCCATTTGGAGACGAGTTCTCGGTCCTCACATCGCAGTGGAGCCGTGATTTCATCACATCGGGTGGGAGTGCTCCTCTGGCACATGCGGAAGGAGGGACGTTTGCGTCTTGACCCCTTTTTGAGCCCTGGGTCTGACGCCGGGGCCAAGAGAGAACTCAGTGCGCCCCTCTTTGTTCACCAACTTACTGAGCGGTCGTGCAACCAAACCTGACCAGCCTAGTCAACCAAATCAACCTAATCAGCCTAACCAACGTGACCAACGCGGCAAAAAGCACGGCAAAGCTTTAAAACAAGCCAGTGTCATGGTGCCTTACCATTTCAGCTCTTCAAACCCCATCCACTGCTTAGTTCCCAGAGAATCCGCGGGAACGACCGCAGCGCAATTTGAGGGGCTAAATACTTACTAGCGGTCTCCTATGATCATGGCTGAATTTGGCTTGAAAGACCCCAAATACCCATTATTATTCTTCTCTTTTTTTGCCAACTATTGGGTTTTCCATGAAACCACTAAAGGTTGAATTTTTAGCAGGGGAGCAGAAAGCAACCGAGGTACCCAGACAGTACCTATGTAGATATAAATCTATATTTGAAAAGAGGTATAGGTACGTACCCACTTTCTCGGGGTAGTACCTGTCTGAAAGTCCTAACATGCCTTGGCAAAATGCAACAAAGGTAGCATGTGCTTATTGAGGCCCCAAGTGGCAAGGCCTTGAATCCCAAAGTCATCTCCAGGCGGCCCGCCTTCAAGGCGGCGGAGCCCGTCTCGCTGAGCACGTAGATCTCGAAAAAATCCGGTCAGTCCGAAAGGAAACTATGGGGGAGGCGTGGTGGTAGTGGACCATCATACACTTGCGGGCCTATTTCAAGGTGTACATGTATCTACATGCATCTAAATTTGTATATATATATATATATATGTGGGCTGGGGTCTCCAGAAGAAGATTCCTCAAATTGTGAATTCGCTCGGGAGGATTGCTTTTTTTTCCCAACCCTCCATTTTACGTTCTTGGTTTCTGTTGGGCCCGAAGAACAGGTGGCTCGCAGAAACAGCCCGGCAAGCGGAACTTTGTCCAACCCTCGAAGGCCCACGGGGACCCTCGAGGATCGGTGAAAAATGGCTATGCAGTGTGACACAGGGGGCCCTTTTTGTAAAGGAAGGATTGCTGCTGAACGGCCCTTGGGAATTGGGGGCCAAAAAGCAATCCTTCGTTCGGCCAGCCCCTGGCAACTAACATGTAACCAAGTAACCAAGTGAGCCTTGTTCAAACCCGCACAGTGCTCTGGTGATGAGAGCTACAAATAGGCATGTCAAAATAGGGAAACCCCAAAAATGGTGTTGTTCCTGGTTTCCTTTTGGTGTCCCTTTAAGCCAACCCCGCAAACCAAAAGGAAGCCAGGTTTGAGGCGCGAAGCACATCGCCTCCATCTGTGGGTCGATGACCCCTTTCATCTTCTCCTGCAGCTCCAAGTTGTACCTGAGATTGCCAGAATCCGGCTTCAACTAAAACCTAAAACATGTGGGTGTGGGTCAAAATTCAACCACCATGGGAAGACAGGTTTAATCCATGTTTCCATTTACCAGGGTTCCTATTTTGGGTACATATTTTTTGACCCACTGCCATGTGACATCCTCAAGATTAGCGAAATGGGGGCTTGAACAGAAACCACGTGGCCCCAAAGTTAATTTGAGTACCCCAGACCAAAATTGAGGGGACAGTGATTGCCTTTTCAAGGGCCGGGGGTTTGATCTGTTCACCTCGGGGTGTGGTCTTTTTCTTCGCCTTGGAACTGGCTTGCCATACCAAGAGGAAATCTGGGAAGTCATTGTTGGGGGAGGCCATGCATACTGTCCAAAACGCTAGTCTAAACAGGAACGGAGCCAAACTCTGCTCGGATCTTGCGGGTTAAAAGAGGTTGGGCGAAGCTGTCAAGGTCTTTGTTTCGACCAGGTCCAAAGCTTGAACATCTCGAGTACATTGCCTTTCTGGATCAAGGGATAGGAAGTGAGGACACGTCAAGCATGGGCAAACCCTTCGCCCCTTGGGATCACAGCTCCCACGCCATGCCTCGCAAAGAATTTGCGGCACATGCGGACTGGCGTTTCTCATGGCTCCAGGGAGCGAGGTCTATGAAACCTTGGCCAAGCAGCGCATGAAACCATGACAGTGGGCAACGGGCCTTTGATCATAGGTGACACAGTTCTCCTTGGGCCAACAGGATGGCGAGTGACAAAACATGGGTTGGAATTGTGTCATCTACTTTCACCCCGTACAGGACAAAGCCCCCGGACCGCAGCGTGGTGCGTACAAGGTTTAAGTCCCCTAGTTTTGAAAGCTCAAACCTTTGCTTGGTTTACAGCCAACACTCAACAATGACAACAAGCAAAGGAACCCGAGTCAAAACGTTTGGCATTGGAGAGGTGCACTTCACATCTCTCACCTAGTGATCAGCAGCACATCAAGTTTACTCACCAAGCCCACGCTTCATACTACACATGTGCTTGAAATCTGGAATCTTCCCCGAGACGGCACCAAACCCAAGACAAGCAGCTTTGCAACGTCCAGCGCCTTCAAAGCGTCATTGGAGCCGCCGAGCGCCTGTCAGAGACGGTTATGAAAGGCAATGTCTAAACCACTCAACGGGGGGTTTGACCTGATGTCGCCAGGGGCCACAACTCCACGAATCTGCGGGGGAAAAAATAGCGAAAACTAGGTCCTCCAGTAGAGAGGTTAGAATAAGGGTACCCCTTTTTCTGTAGTCTATTTTAGTAGGGGAACCCTCCCCAACAAAAGGGTAAAAGGGCACTACTGGGGGACCCAGAAAGAGCTTCTCAAGCTGCGAAACCCACTTCGGGACCGCGCCAGCTCAACGCGCCGGGCTGCTCTCGCCAGATCGGTCCTGAGCATTCCGGGAGACCTTCATCCCGTGCTCGTTCATGGCTGCCCAATTGGAATGGGTGTCGAAATAGGTGGTCGATCCCAATTTGGTGGTTGGTTCCTCGTTACACCAAGGTGAACCCATTCCATGGTCAACCCCGGCCTCTTCAATGGCTCATAGGTTTGGTCAAATCTCCAGGTGGGTTCAAGGGTTCATAAACCTAGGATTCCTTGACTGGCACGACCATGGAATATCCTATAAGCCACTGTCCTCCAGAGTGGTTTATTTACCATCCGGCCGAGCTTGGTCATCCGCACATTTAAAAACAACACATCTGCCTTGACATCATGCTGGCCGGCATGCAAACACCTAGTACGAACAATGAAAGTCAACCGCCTCGTTTGCAGGACAAGACATACAAAGCCTTCCTTGCACTTCGCTACATCTGCGCCTGTTGGAATCATTGGCATAGCTCAAACAACAGATTGCATCGAACCTCACCCATACCGCCTGGGTGTGTCTTTTTGAGGGTACCCGTTTTTAGGCCTGTTTCGATGAGAAACCAAAGGGGAGCCACTATTTCGGGGTCCCCTTATTTTGAGACCCAGTTTGCCAAGGATGATAAGCCCGGCGCCCATCCATGTCCATTCAGAATGCAGCTCAATCAGACATGCGGCCCGAACTGTAGAGCATCCCCCCAACTGAAATTGAACAGGAAGGAAGTACCTCGATGCATCTCACCTGGTGCCCATCAATATCCATAGGCCAAAGAGAAGCGATGCGCCGCTCGCGAAACTCCTGACATCACATGCAGCCGAGGCTCGCAATGTCCACCTGAGTTCATGTCTCACCACACCAAATCTCGCAACTCTTGGCACGGAGGAACAGGCACCTTCCCAAGACTCAGGTCAGAACCCAGATTCTGAGCAAAGGGCCGTGTTTCTGGATGAACAAGAATCCCTGTCTACAAAGACCTTGGTCATGTCAACACGGAATTGCTGAAACTGTCCAGCTCCTTGCTGATTATGGGATGTGGCGGGTCGTGCCCGAGCCGTTCCTTCCCAACCTTTGGTAGGGTAGCAACGATACAGATTTAGAGGACTAAAGGACGGTGGAAATAATAAGCAAGGAAAACACGATTCAACAAACACATAAATCTATATAATAGTCCAACACAATTAAGCGAACACATATATCTATTTATTCAAAAAAAGACAGTGGATAATGATTTCCAAGCAAAAGCCTGGCGCCATGGCAGCCGCGGGGCTGCCTCTTGGTCCGCCTGCTCTGCTCGCGTGGCCTCAGCCACCCCGTTGAGGCGTCGGTCAGAACTGGCGGTTTTGCCCTGGAGGTAAAGGGAGCCTGTTTGAGCACCTCAAGGTGACTTCTCAAGATGACTTGTTCTATCGGGATGCCAGATCTTTAAGCAAGCACCACTGACCCTGCAAAGGGGTGCTTCCACTTCCTGCAGGGTCTCTGGATAGGCCCTGCAACTACACATAATCCCGAAACTAAAACAACTGTTTGGATAGTGATGCAAAAGGAAACCAAAAAAAGACCAACCATTGTCAGGTGTTCAATTCCTAGTTGCAGGACCTGGGTATGGTTTGGTTGTGCGGATCCTTTGATGGGCATAGTCATTTAAGAGTTATGCCGCCGCGGGCCATGTTTGCGGGAGTTCCACCGAACATTCATTGCCACATGTGTCACAGTCAATACGTATTGTTACCATACTGAACACGAGAAAGCCATAGAGTCCCTTGTTTGCTCAGAGAGTCCCCGATGTCCTTACCAATAGACAAATAACAATTATTTGACCAAACTTCCCTGACCCTAAACCTCACCCAACATGCAAAAACGCCGGGTCAAAATACGGCTCCTTTTCAAACCCTAGTGCCGCCTTGTGCCAGGGATGCCAACAAGATCCCCTAATATTGCCAACCAGGTCGCCCAACCTCTGACTTCCCCTCTTGCTTTAACTCCATCTTGAAATGTTCCTCCCCAAAGCAAAAAAACGTCCCACGCCCCGCACGCCTCCCACGCTGTGCGGGGGCGCCCCCCCCAAAACGTCTGGGACCCCCTGCGTCCACGATGGCGCTGGCGCGCTCCGCCCAGACCCGCGCCGACTCCGCCATGGCGTAGGCGTGGTCCACCGCCGCCGCCAGCTTCCCTCGCCGATTTGGAGCGGGGACTCCGGAGAAAAAAATAAATATACAAAAAACGTGCGATCGGTGCGAAATCGGAATGAGAATCGGAAGGAACCCGGGCGTTGGTCCCCTAGGAAACCACAAGTCATGGGTTTTCCCGGGGTCGTTCCCACATTCCCTACTAAGCACCAGCAAGAAAAGAAGAGCCTAATGTTGACCACGGATTTTTGTCCAAACCCCTGGGTGACATGTGGGAATTCATGACTTCACTTTTGGAGGGGAAAACCCCCAGATTAAAAAACTGAGGTTGATTCATCTAGGGTCAACAGAAAGTTAGGCCCCGTGCATAGGCATATGTATGTTGTATGTATATATATATATATGTATATCATGTGTGTGTGTGTGTGCGCGTGCGCGCGATGGCCTCTCCAAGGTACTCCTGGAAACAATCTGGAATCCGCGCCCATGTTCGGCTCCAAAGACTTGGGCTGGCAATTGCAAAGCTCCATGGTTGTCCAATGTTTATTCAAGGGGCAAAGAAATATTTTGCAAAATGTTGACACATGTCCTCAATCACCTGAGCAACAATTCACCACATGTTCAGCTGAAAACAGGGCTCTCTGGGTCTGGGAGCGCAAGTTATGATGGATAACGATGTTGGTGGGCGCAACATGACGGGTCGCTGCTGCTGCAGGTGGTAGGATAGTGCAGATGGTGCCCACACGGGCAGGTCCATGTAGCCTGCATTTTGACGGTCCGATTCCCTGGGGGCAGTACAGTAGTCACCTGCATCCCCACAGCCTGGATCCCTGGGGTTTCAAAAACTGACTCCTGGGTGCGGGTTCCCTTGACACGGCTTCGAGGGGACATCCAATCAACCCCATACATTCCCAACAAAAAATCGCCAGCTACAAACATCTCCACGTTTTGGGCCGCCCTTCGCGGCGTTGGATTCGCGGCCGCCGTCTTCGCCTTCGGCGAGCTCGTCCGCCGACTCTTCCATCGCCTCGGGGGCTCGGAAGCTCGGGGTGTGAAACCCAAGCGGCCTCCATCCACAGCCGGAAGAATTTCTCCAGAGGGTGGACCCCTTTTTGGCCGGAAGTCAAAAGCAAACCAAAAAGAAACCAACCACTGTAGGGCCATGAACTTCTGGTAACATCCTGGTAAATTGCTCCATTTCACAAAAAGCGAAGAAGTCTGCAATCCCCTTGTGCCCGGTTTGAGCAGTTTTCTGGCTGGCGTCACCTTCCGTCGGATCGCTTCGTTTTTAGAGTAACGCCAACCGGTGGGATGCTCCTTGGAAAACAACTCCTTTGCTACTCAAAACCTTTAGGCTTTAGGACTGGTATAGGACTGGTCCACAAAGGCAACACCGTGTTGATTTTCACCCCAGGGCGCCAAATGTGAAAAGTTGCGATGTGCGCCTGTCAGCTGCACGTACCTCAACTTGCACTTTGGAGTACGCGCGACTAAAATATGACTTGCCGCTTGTCAATTCAGGGGAAGCTAGAAGGTGCAGCAAAAACCAATACAATGTAAGGCCGTCCTTTTTAACGGCAAGCCATATGCCTGGGATTGTTTTCCCGTAAGGGAGCCTCCAAAATCCTGTTTCTGTTTGGTGTCCCTAGGCTTCCTTTGGGTTTCCCTTGATGTCCTTTTCGCTTCCGTTGGGGTCTCCCCTTCACCACACAAGCCACAAGCTGCGACGTTTGGGAGGCCGAGGGGCGGCCAGCTGCTTCTCCCGGTCCACCTCCGCCTTCAACGCCGCCTGCTCGTTGGTCTGCTGCGCCTCCAGTTGCGCCTGAAGGGACAACCAACCGACGCCCCCGGACACTCACCGGTGGACACGTTTTTCCATGGATGACTTCGGCTCTGACCTTCATCCGACCCATGGACACGCTTCGTGGCAGTGGGAACATTGGAGTGCTCCTGCGGTTCAAGTGCGAAATTTGGGCGTGGACAAACAGACTAGTACTGTAGGGGCGCAAAAGCATTGGGCACCTCATGGCTCTCCCCAAACGCACAAGAGACTAGTCGTATGGGGCAAAAATGTGCATCCCCTCACAATAAGGGGATGAGAATTGGGTCCTCTACGTCCTTTGCCTTTGCACGTTCGAATAAGGTATCATGTCTGGAACAATCCGCTGTGACAAGATGGTTCGGGGCAGGATGCCTCTACATTCTGGCCCATTGTAGCCCTCTTCCGTTGCCAGGGTTGCTCAAAACCCCCAGTACAGACGCAGCTCGGAAGAGGCAGAAACGCTGTCCTAGAATAGGACACTTCAAAAACAGAGAACACTACCAGAACGGAAGTGTAAGGAGCTGCAGAAGCATCTTTGCAAGGCCTGCTCATGATTTCCAGAATCAGTATTGTTTGGGGCTCAGGCCCCGCTCTGCTTCTGGCTGGGCTCAGGCCCCAATCCCGCGGCCGAGGAAATCTTCTCGCACATTCCTTGACGCGCCCATGGGCGTGGGGAAGCCAGCCAGTTGTTGGCAAACGCCAAAGAATACAATCCCCGTGCAGTCGGCCAGCGCAACGCGCGGTGGCCCTCCCATTTTGGTTGTAGTCAGTTTTGGGGCCATTTTGGGCGTTGTCAGCCCGCCGCTCATTTTGGACGTAGTAGCTGAATCATCTTGGTCGCAGCTTTCACTCATGTTGGTCATAGTTGCAATATGTGGCCGAATCATGTTCACACAACACAACTCAACTCAACTCCATGAGCCAGGACCGAAACGAGGCACGAACTAGGACCAAAGCCACCCTGGGGCTGAGTACAAGGACCAAAACGACACCGCGTCCACACCCCGACCCTGGCCTGCTGCCCAAAATCACCTGGCAGGTGCATGCTGGATTGAAGACCCTGACAACGACAGAACAACTATCACGGCTGAAAGAAGCGGACGACCCCAACGACCCCAACGACCCCAACGACCCCAACGACCCCAACGAAACAACTGAGTGATCGCTTTGTCAAGAGGCAGGCCCTGCATCAAGAGGTGAACTGATACAAGGAGTAAATGTTCAGCAATTGGTTCATGGTTCCCTTTCAAAGGGACTCTCACAGCCTTCCAGGTGTTTCCAACATCCAATACTCAACAAAAGGGGGCACCCAACAGCCGTGTCAAACCTTGCAAACCTTCCTCGGACTCGTGTTGTTGTGTTGTGTGTTGCCTTAACTGAGGCATCTGGTCTTTCTCGGTTGATGAGGGACGGCCCTTAGCCGCAAGACAACATGGAGCAGGCCTTCAATTTCTTGGCCCAGGCCGCGCACTCCAGACCCCTCTCCCCCGCCTCCTTGGAACGATGCCGGCACGCCTGGCACCAGTCTTGCGGTTGTCAGGGGCCCCTGAAAGGGGGGGGGGAAGAGTGGACCTTATCCACCCAAGAACCCGTGGAGCCACCAAAGTGTTTTGTTGGCTTTCACGATGATGTTTTAAAGCTTTGCTACAGCACATGTGTATGTGTATGTATATATATGGTACCCCCCCCCCTAGTGCCTAGGTTGTGCTTGATTTCAGTCATTTTTCAGGTAATTTTGCATTTGTTGCCAAACTTGGGCACCAAGGAAGGAGGCTGTGCCACAATCCTACAATTAAGAATTCTGGACCCAAGATTGCTGGGAGACGTTCAATGTGACAATCTGGAATTCAAGATTCAATATGTCAATACAATCTTTTCTGGAATTCTGGAATATTGAATCTTGCTTGCATCCCCTAAAAAAACCTGGGATTCAAGATTCAAGATTCAAGATTGCAAAATATTTTTCTGGGAATCTTGAATCTTGAATCTTGAATCTCATATTGTTTTGAGAAAATCCGGGTTTGTCCCAATACTCTCGGTGTTCAATAAGATTCTCGGAAAAGCTTTCCGTGAAATATGTCAATCTCGAATCTTCCATCCAGTGGTAAAATACGTTCGAAGTCTTGGAACAACTTGATCATTTTCAGGGTTTGACCAGGATGGATGATTCTCAGGAAAGTTGTTGCTTGTGATCCACGATATCGAATCCTCAATCCAGTGGTAAAGCACTTTCAAGTGTGAGAAGAACTTGAATGTTAATTGGGTTTGGCCAGGACTGACAATTCTCAGGAAAGTGTTCTGTGTAATCATCAATCTTCGTTTTTTCCTATCCAGTGGTAAGATACTTTTAAGTGCTTCGCGATCCAGTGGAAACACTTTCAAGTTATTAGTTAGACAAACCGTCAAGTGCTTTTGGTGAGCGGTTTGCTTCATGTTTGCTATGAAGCATGTTGACCCTTTTCCAGGAGGTAAACAAAGGTAGATGTAATGCTCAAGAACTCTGCATTTTCCAGTATTTTTATTTTACAGTATTTTATGAAGAGGCGCAGGATCATTCTGGGTACTATATATATATATACATATATATATATATGTGTATGTATGTATGTATGTATGAATGAATGAATGAATGAATGAATGAATGAATGAATGAATGAATGAATGATTGAACGAATGAATGAATGAATGAATGAATGAATGAATGAATGAATCAATCAATCAATGAATGAATGAATGTATGCATGCATGCATGCATGCATGCATGTGTGTGTATGTATGTATGTATGTATGTCTGTATGTATGTATGTATGTATGTATCTGTATGTATGTATCTGTATGTATGTATCTGTATGTATGTATGTATGTATGTATGTATGTGTGTGTGTGTGTATGTATGTATGTATGTATGTATGTCTGTCTGTCTGTCTGTATGTTATATATATACACACAGGTATGTGTGTTCACACATCGTCACTCCCCCCCCCCCCGCCTCTTGAACTACCTCTCCACATTTGCTCATCTACTACCTCCGCCTTTTGAGATAGAATGAGTTTGTTTTCCTGCGCAAATAGAACTTTAAATGCAACTGATTCAGCTAGAATCCCTGTTTTGAAATAGTTTTAGAATTTGAACCTCTCTTCCCTTGAAATGTCCTTTTAAAACACCGTCTAACAAGTTTAACTTCGGACCTTTCTTATGCTGCAAAAGGGCCAGGATATAAACAACACAAATCGTATTTCGAATTTCCTTGTAGAAGTCCCTTAAATGCTTAGTCATATTTAATATGAACTAAATTTGAGAAGTAGTCTCTATTTTGTTGTTATTATGAAAAGCTAATTGAGTTGTGTTCGTATTAGATTATATCTAGCACTTGGATTATATTTGGGAATAAACTCCTAACTTCTTTTGTTGAAGATTTCTTGGAGTTTGCACGAAACTGTACTTATATTCTCACGTAGCTCCTATTTGGAAAGGATTTGCTTATATAAGCTGTAGTTGAGCAATGTTGAGCATAAACACATGTTTGAAACTATATCCTAAGCAAAGTATATTCAAAATTCCAATTCTAGTTGAAGGAAAATCCTATTTGGAAAGGGTATCATATTGGGACATTTCGAATCTTGCCATGATGGACTGCAAGCCCATTCGTGCTGAAATCAAGCAAAACCTAGGCACCGGGAAGGGGGGGCGTAGCATATATATATATATGCGAAAGGGTTTGAAACAGAGTTTCGGGATGGATAAAACAGGCCCTAACCCACCAACAAGAAGAGACCACCTTATCCCCCCGGTCCCAAGGGCAAAGCAGTTGCCCCCGGCCGGCACTAACACGAACCAAAAGGGGTGCCTCGTTGTAACAAGAAGGAACCAAGCAGAAGCGCAGCACAGCGCAAAGCAGGCAAGCAAACCAGCAGCAAGCAGCACCAAGCGAGCAAAGCGAGCAATAGCAGAGCACCCCAAACAATAGCCCGACCCACCTCCAGGAGAAAGACCACCGCCCCAGACACGACGGCCGCGATGCCACGCGGCCGGCGCGCGGATGCGTGGCGGACGATGAATGCCGGATGCAAAACTTGAGCCAAATGCCGCGTTGGGCATTGGCATGAAATTAAACATGTTGCGATAAAAGTAAATGCCCCCAAAAACACCCCCCTCGACTGTACAAAGAGAAGGAGTGAATTTGGAAAGGCGCATTGGCCATGTTGAAGTTGAATTGCAATAAACAAGAAAAACAAAGACGATTAGGCTACCAGGGTTCGCGACCCCATACCCGGGCACTCATTGGTGCCCGGATCCCGCCACCACCCCGAATTACGGGTATGGGGCGGATTCGCGCCGGTAGCCAAATCAAACAAGAGAAAGCAAAAAGAAACAGAAACAAGGATTCAACTCCATAATGGCAGGCATGAAGCTAAATAAAAGACATTTGCATTGCAACCACATCGAACCGATAGACTCAAGTGGATTTAATTTTGAATTATTGGGTTAGGCGCATTGGCCTGCTGGTTGAAACATGGTGCCTAGGCCAATGAACTTTGGTTGTAAATTGGCACCGTCTAGGCGCGCGATCATTCGAGGACAACCGCCATGGACGCCACCAGCAGCGATCCGCGGTCTAGGTCCGAGTAGGACATCACCAGCGGCGGTGCAGCACATTCGTGATCATCACGCCGGCACCTCGATGAGTTCCTTCACCAGCTGCATCAGCGGTTCAGGAAGGTGTTGATCACCAGCAGCCGTTGACACCGGCGAGGATGACTGCCTTGCAGTGACAAGACGTACCTGGCAGGGCAATGTGATCGGCGCGACTAGCGCACGATCACACGTGCAGTCGGAAAGAGGGAGGCCGCCGGCTAACGGGAAGAACTTCCCCTCCGATGCAGGAACGTAATGCTCCCAGATTTCCCTCAGCGGGAAGCACCGTACCTCGTCGAGCTCACGGACCTCCTTGGGGAAAAACTTGAAATCCACTTCGCTACCGGGCCTTGCCGGGTTGACCGAAGTTTCACGCGCCACTGACCCGGCGGGAGTTTCCGCTCCGATGGCCAGCACAGGGCGCGTAGCGCCGTGACGGAGCCATCCAACCTCCGATGAGTGAGGATTTACTTCAAGCATGGG